GGCATAAGTGCCTTCATGAATCATTAGGTGTGGGAGGAAGAGACATGACTCTGAGTGTTCATGCGTGCCTCACGGGGTCACGATGGTGCTGCCACCAGATAACAAACCATCAAGAAGAGATGGAGTTTGGAAGGAGGATTCTTAGATCAGGATTCGTGATAGTGTAGTAACAAATTGAAGGTACTCAGTAAGTGCTGCACTAAATCTACCACCCAGAAAATATTTTTCTCCAGGGATCACACGGAAACATTGAGAGTAAATAAGATGATTCAAAAACTATGAAGGAGCAATCACTTAACTGGTGAGGAATTCTTTCTTTCCTGGACAAACTTCCCCATCTTTTTTTGTACATATATATGTATATGTACATGTATATGTATATATATATATATATATATACATATATATATATATATATATATATATACAGTGTGTGTGTGTGTGTGTGTGTGTGATATAAGCTTTAGTACTAGTTGTAGTACATTTTGCTTTTTCTTCCTCCATTTCAACATACTTTGTTTTAGGAGTACAAATATACATACATACATACATACATACATACATACATACATACATGTTTATTAAACTTCAAAGTAACTTCTATTCATGGTAACTGATTCTCACTTACTACTTTTGCTAATTTAAAAAAGCATCAATTTAGCTAAAAATACAGTAATCTAATTACAAAAAGCAACACTGAGTATATCACGGCTTCAGATTCAGCCATGACGAGCCAAGGACCACTTTCCTCAGTCTTTCCACACAGTTTTCCCACATTCTATAAGGGACCATCATTAAAGTAGTATACAAAATGCTCCTCTAAAACCATGGTTTCATCAGTTCTGGGAATGGTCTGGGCATTTTTGATGTTAGCTTGATATCAACCAGGAATATACTGGCTTTGGTATGTCATCTTTCCTCTAATCATTTAATTACCTTTCTCTTCCTCTAACCAAAATTCCAGATAAGCCCTGGTCTTACTGCTGCCTTTGCCCATGCTATCCAATCATCCAGGTTGTAATGGATTGCATCCCATGCTGTTCTCCATCTGTCCATCACCCTCTTCAGCCCCACAGTACCTTCCATCAGTTCTTTATACACTAGATTTTCTAGAATCAAATTCTTGGAAGAAACAAGCTGTGCTATCGGTATTGATGTTGATTTTCAATCCTTCGTTTTCAGTGAAGCCATTGAAATAGAAATGCACAAAAAAGAAGAACAAGGAGTAGAAATAAATGGTAAGTGTGAAATCTAGCCACCCATCATTAAATGAAGTCAATCCTGGCATTCTCCTTTCCTACTCCTTCACTGTGGTTTCCTTGAAAAGATTAATATTTCTATGGGACCTTGGTAACTCATACCATGTGAGAATTAATAAGATAATTCTCTTCTGTACATATATCTTAATAAGTGCCCTCAGGTAATATCCAAGTGACACTGAGGGTGGGGGATTATACTAGCAATTTAGGATGCAGCATCTGCCTTCGTCGGCTGCCATTTGTGCTGAACATCTTGCTGGAACAAAATGACTAAACAAAAGTGTGCTAGTCATGAGTTTGTGATGCTGTTTTAGGGTGCAGGGACAAATATAGAACTGTGGATATACAGCAGAACTTAATCCCAGTTTCTTTTTCTGAAAGCGATAACAACTGGAGATTCTTTTTACATTACTTTTATAGATGGGAGGCTTTAGTTAAAAGGTAGCCTTGAGATTTTGTTTTTTTCTGCCTGAGACAAATGAAATATAAATATAAAACTGGTCTAGTACATGTTGATCAGTATTCCTGCAAATCAAGGAACAGAAGGTCACCTTTCTAAGCACTGTTTTGACCTTTGTGCTTGCTTGTCTAAAACAAAGGAGTCTTTAGAAGAACCTCGTGGGTGGTAAAAACAGTGAAGGGATCAGATTCTTCCCTAGTTTGAAGAGGGATGTGTTGAAGGCCGATTTCTAAAATTCAGTTTCAGTTAGTTTCTGAATCTATTCATCTCTGAGCAACGGATGAGGTACCTTCCACATCACTCAATACATAAATTATGTCCTATGAATGTATGAAAAGGAACCATTGAAAATCTGATAGAAACTTAGGGGCATAATTAAGGCTTGCCTTAGTATTAATAATAAGGTGAGAACATAATGTTTATGTCTGAAATAGGGATTATTTCACTTGGTATAATAACACTGAGTTGTTGGAACACTGCATAGAGCTTGCGTGTAGCTTTTCAGAATCCAAATTGGCTACACATTGGCTTTTGCTACTTTGTGGGTCCTTTTCTTTCCCATCATTAATACCCTGGTTTCACCATCTATCACTAGATAGGAAAGGATGAAGGAAAGAGGACAGAGAGATAGAGAGAGATCCTTGGATCTAATTTCTTTCTGCTTCTTTCTTCTTTAACCATGACTACTAACAAACTGCAACTAGCCCCATTGAATAGCCAACACCACTACCAACACCTCTCAGGACCCTAGCATTTATATATACTCTGAAAACTTCCTAGAATTCCAAATGTGATACAATTGCAGAAGCTATCTACAGCTGGCAAAAACATGCCTCTGCTAGATCACGAGGCAAATCATAGTCAGCTGCTGAGGACAGTCCAAAGAAGCCCCACACCCACATGCCTACACCTGGGATAAAAATGAAAATTTATTCTTAAAATATTTCTGTGGGTTTTTTTTAGAGTAACAAAAATTCCAAAATTGTCACTACACATATAAAACATTTCTCACCTTAAAAAATGTCCAATTTGCTCCCATGAAGAGTTTTTAATCTATAAAATATACCGTCTATATTGGTTACTTTTATATTATTGTGCTAAGACATTGTGACCAATGCATCTCACAGAAGAGTTTACTGGAGGCTTACAATTTAGTGAATAGTCAATGACCATCATGATTGGGAGTGAACAGGCAGGCAGAGTGCTGGAACAGTAACTGAGAGCTTGATTATTGAAATATAACCATGAGGCAGGACTGTGAATGCTGCAGGCTTTTGAAATCTGAAAGTCCACCCACAATGCTACACCTTGCATTAGTTTGGATTACTATTGTTCTGATGAAACACCATAAGGAAAACCAAATCGAGGAGAAAAGGGTTCATTTGACTTGTATATCCTGAAATACATATCACTGAAGGAAGCCAGGGCAATAAATGAAACCAGGCTGGATACTAGAGGCAGGTATGGACAGACCATAAAGAGTATTCCTTATCTCCCCCTGTCCCCCACCTCCTGTGGCTAGCTTAGTTTGTTTTTGTAAGCACCAAGGACCACCATCCCAGGGATGGTACCAGTCATATTGGGTTGGGTCTGCCCACATCTATAATTATTAAGAAAATGCCCTACAGTCTTGGTTACGGCCCAATTTTATTCAAGCATTTTCTCAGTTAAGACCACCTCCTCTCTGATGGCTTTGTCGTGTGTCAAATTAACATAAAACCTTCCAGTATATATTTCTGCCAACAAGTCTATACCTCCTGATCCTGCTTAAAGAGTTCACTGAACTGGGGACCAAATATTCAAAAATGAATCTATGGTAAGCAGCCTCATTCAGCGCACTGCATCATTAAAAGTCTTGAGATTTCATTTTCAAATACTGACTTTCAGCTTCTCTTAATGATTTAATGTTCTGTGTACACTTAACAATTACAGCTTTAGAAGCATTTAATCATCGAAAACTTTATCATATACAAATATATACAGACTCTCAGTATTTCTTTTAATACATATAAAGTACTTAGGAATTTTGGTCCCATGAGAATTTCAGATATTGTCACAGTATTTATAGCTTATAATTGATGCAGTTGTGATATGAGACAGGTCTATTCAGTATGTAAAGCTTGTTATCTCATTCAGTTTTGAAGCCAGTATAAAATTATTAAATTAGACACTAATTTCCATACACACTATCCAGTTGTCCCCCAGAACTCATAGCAATGTTACCGAGACGACCTGCATAAGGACTGTACAAGTACTAGCCAGAAGAAATCCTGGCATAGAGGGTGAGTTATGTGATGGGGTGTTCTAGGGAGGGGAAATGGGGAAGGGGGATGATAGCTGAAATGTAAATAAATAAAATATCCAATAAAAAAAGAAAAAAGTGATTTAGATAGAGGGCTAGAGAGATGGCTCAGCAGTTAAAAGCACTGGCTTTTCTTCCAGAGAATCCTGGTTCAATTCCCAGAATCCACGTGACAGCTCACATCTGTCTGTAATTCTAGTTCCAGGGTTCCTGACACCTCACACAGACATGCATGCAGGTTAAATTCCAACAAAAATAAAAATAAAGTATTAAAAATAATAAATAAATAAACTTTTAATAAAAGAAAGAGCTATTGTCATCCCATAGGCTCTGGGAGAGGAAGATTTAGGATTTTCATTTTGTTTGTTTGTGTATTTTATGATGGGACTTCTGATAGGCTAATCTTTAGACATCAGAACAGAATATAATCCCAATCCTAGCTGGGTCACAAAAACTGGATGGAAATGGAAAAAAAATAAAGCACAAAGTTGGTGGGAAGAAGGGAAAGAATGGTAAGGGTTGGGTTGGAGATGGGGCAATACGTTAAAAATACATTGCATGAAGTTCTCAAAGTCTTAACAAACATAATTTGAATACATTAAATTACTCAGAGGCCAACAAGTCCTCACCTACTTCAGTTACTTGTATAATTATTAAAAATGTTACAATTTCAATATATTAACAAGCATACTCCCTAACAAGAATAAATTAATGTATACCTAATAAATATGTTATTTTCACAAATAATCGCAATTCATTTTAATAAATTAGTACATAAATTACTAAGCCATTTTAAATCCAATTTGTCTTTCATTGATGAAGTGCATGTGTATTTATCTATGCTACTAGAATACCAGCTATGATTTTGTCTAAAAATTAATCTGCTTCATTATGTTTTCGAATGTCATTTATAAGATGTGCATTAAAAAGCTTTGCAGACTGTGCATATGAGTGAACATCCTTTTCAAGAATGTCTTACCAGAAGTTGTCTTCACTACTTCAGTAGTATTCCTCAGTCCAACAAAGGAAAACTGATAGAGCCTCCACGATCTTGTATCACCCACTTCAACAGAACTGCGCTTCCACTGATAAACAATTTCTTCACGAGGATAACCATCTATGATGAGATGAGAAAGCTCATGTTAACTACAACAACGAATGACCAGCCATAGGTAACAACCACCTTCTTTGAACAAGTTGTAAATACCAAGAGAGAACAAAACTGAAAGTCATATAAGCATCCTGGAGTGACCTTGAGGAATTTGCCTCACAGAAAATTTACATAATTCATATCACATCCTGCTGGAAAATAATTTGAAAGTAATAAAGTCAAAACTGCCTTTGAAAAGAATATTGCTTTTAATTGCATATAATATAAACAACAAAGGATATTCTAAATGTTTTATTCCTTTCACCTGAGAAAAGACATAAAAATGTCCGGGACAAAATGAAAATTAGATATGTAAGAGAATGTTTCATAATGAAGGGTGGCCAGTAGTTCAAGATTTTGACAGTCATGTAGACATACGAAACACTGAGAAAGATATAATAAAGAGACTTCTCCAATAATTATCCTAGTGTCATGACTATTTACATTGTCAGATGGCAAGTTTTCAGTCTCGTGATTTTTATTGTTAAATTTGTTTGGGGAATAAGAAACGTCTATAAAAGTAGCCCATGTTAGTCTTGAGTCAATAATCTCTTGTATTCACCTGATCGCTAGTATTACACCAGTTGAGTATGACAGAAACCAAAGAGAAAAGAAAATATAGAATGGTATTAAGATACAGTTTAGACTCAGTCTTAACATACATTGAAAAAAATTAAAATCATTGTGTACAAATGCCAATGGGAACACACAAAGAGTTTAGGTAAAAGTCTTCATGAGAACAGGAATAGTATTACTCTCACAATCAGGGTAAAACAGTCATGAGCATGAAGCTATAATAGGAATTTTTAACTACTTTTTAGATAATTCTTAATAGAGGCTATTATAATTCCTGTACCATACAATTAATTGTTACTGTATATTTCCTGAGTGAAAAAAACTATCATTAATTAACTCTGGAATGTCCTTTTCCAGTAATACATGAATGTAACTAAATGTCAAAGTTGGCAATACAGCTCAGTGTTAGAATGTGTGTCTATCATGAGACAAGGTACTGGTTTCATTGTCTAATGTGGCCCCAAAAGAATGGATGCATGAATGAAGAAGTGAAGATAAGCATTACTTCAACCATGTGCATATTAACAGTGTGACATGAAGATAAGCTTTGACTATAAAATGTGAAATTCTGTTTGAAGAAAACATTCTTTCCTTTATACTTTTATTTCTTTTTGGTTAAAATCTTTGTTTGCTCTTGTAGAAGTGAGCAGAAAAATGACATCTACTGAATTGTTGGGGATGTGTAATAGGATTCACTGAGAATGGAAAAAGGATGGTGCCACATGAGAACACTCTGAGGAATGTAGTGGTGCCTGATTTTTTTTTATTTTTTAGAACAGAAAATGGTATTACATCATGTGTAGGTTTAGGGGGAAATTGTCAGTTGTAACCTGGTGACACGAATATTTTAACTGACTCAATAGAATGGCAACTCTACTTTGTTAATCTCTCTAAAAGTTAAGGAGATCTCAACTTTGTAACTGAACACACTCTACTCAAATAGATAAACATGAAATAAAATATATAATGGACAAATATATATATATATATATATATATACATATATATATATATGTATATATATATATATATATATACACACATATAATCTTCTAAGTATATATTATGTATATTATATCACTGGAATTGATAAAATAATGAGCAGATGATCAATTCTCTTGTCACTGTCTTAAAATTAACTGTGGTAGTGACTTTCTGGATCTTAGGAGTTAGGAGTCTTCCTGAGTCTAAAGAAGAGAAATTATGTTGATGAAAATGCATGTTTAAAATTTATCATTAACATTTCATGCATTCAAACATGCCTAATTGTTAAATCAGAAATAAGGCAGAGATGACTTATCTAACATAGATGTTGAACAGATAGGAGAACATTTAGAAAACTGAGGCCTGTTTGCTTTCAAATATCTGTGCAACTTTTAATATTTGAGAGTTTTCAAGGTCTTCTTGATATGTTATATGGCTTGATGAAAATAATAACAAGTCGGGCTTTCATAGAATTGGAATATCATGCATTTTTGCAAATATTATACCAACAGAATAGTGTTAATGTACAGTACACTTTGGCTAAGAATGTTCTATAACATTATCCTGAGTCCCATGAAGAAGGATATTGGAGGTACATTATCAACCATCTATACCCTTTCTTACTGAGTCCTGGCCGGGTCTTACCCTTCACATCAACAACTAGTCTGGGCACCCATTGTCTATTTCCTAAGAGTTCCTTATTCCATAAATTATTTTGCAAAGATTGTTTTAATTGGGACAGTTTTAAATTACAATAAAATGATTTAAAAATCAATAGCATAGCTCAGTGCCACTATGCAGTTTCTCAGATTCATTGCATTAATTGACAAGGCAATTAGAGTGGCTACATGTTGTAGGGCACAAACTGGAGAAAATATTACTTACAACTGGAGAACTCCAAGGGGCAGGAGTGTTCATCCATTGGGAAGTTGTGTAATTGCAACTGGCACTCAGCATCAATTGTTAGCCTAATTAGAACAACAATGAACATACAGAAAAAATGCTAACATCATTTCTACAATGAACACTGATATACTTTCTAGAACAATCTTACATTGTGATTGATAACACAAAGTGATCATCTATGAAAAAAAATTAAAGTTCTAGGCAAAAATTATTTCTGAGCAAATTTGATTTACATAGCAGACAGAACCACCTAATTCACCAAAACCTCATTTATTCAAAATATGTGGTTACTTGTTTTGTATTTTATCTTATTTATTTTTGCAAATTAACTGCACACTGGAGACTTCTCAGTGAATATATTTAACTTATTTAAGAGAACAAACTGTTTTAGGAACTTAAGCTCATTTAATGTTTGCATCAAATGAATGCTGACAGTTCTCTGATCTTATCAGCTAATTAACACAATGCCTTCTGTTGACAAGAACTTGCTGCTTTTAAATTGCCATAGGTGTGTTTTAAAATATCTCAGCTGCACAAGGGAATAATGAGCTCTTTTATGACAGATATAGGTAGGTAGGTAGGTAGGTAGATAGATAGATAGATAGATAGATAGATAGATAGATAGATAGATGATAGTTAGATAGATACATACATACATAGATGATAGATAGATAGATAGATAGATGATAGTTAGATAGATAGATACATACATACATAGATGATAGATAGATAGATAGATAGATAGATAGATAGATAGATAGAATATCCTAAATAGAATATATTATATATAGAAGGTTATCTAAAGGCAAACAAGAGATGCTAAAGGCACATAGGCTGAGACAATGTGAAAGACTTCACCAGTGAGTCTCAGTTTGTACAAGATAAAAACCTCAAGATGTACAGTTTTTAAGCCCTGGGCTGTGACTCAAGAAGGAAGTTTAAATCTAAAGGAGTCTAGATGTTCTGGCCACCTTTGGAGAGGCATGAAAAAAAGAAACAGTGTAATGGTGATGGCTGGTGGTTTTCAAAATGTTCATGTCCATTAGCTACATTTCTTACAACCATCAATACCAATACTTAAGTAATAGAAATGTTATTTTACAAAAATTTAATTTAAAGAATTTTCTAATTATCATGAGTTTACTTTGAGGACATGTTAAATGTTTTGTGGTACACTAAAGCAATGAATAATCTTTCTGCATATCTTCATGGCCGATGAAGCCTCGATGAACTGAATTAATTCTTTATTAAGTGTTGCGGTGGATCCATTGTTCTTAAACTTATTCAAGATCACAGGGACAAAGGACATGGTTATGATTTGCACTTAGACACTTCAATCTTCATATCAGGAGACTTTAATCATTTTCTCTATGAACATTCTTCAAAGAAAAGTTTGGCTTTACTCACAAATGAGATTTTAATTAAATCTGGTTTTATTAGAATTATCTCTCAAAATTAAAGTGATATTATTTTATAATTAAAGATAATACAGATAGATTGCAGATATAAATATAGATTTAGAAGTATAAATAGCTACAAATATATGCACACATATATTCAGACATTTATCGCTTAGATAAGCAACTAAATTAAAAATCATCTTTCTTTGTATATACATACACTATTTCAAGTCTTAAACAGATCAGAATTGACACTTAAGGAGGTTTCTGTAATTAAACACTGTTATCCAAATTAATAGAACTCAAAATTGACTACAACATTATAAGATAACAAGAGTTGAGGTAAAGTGAATGATTGCAAATTTCACAAGCCAAAATGAAATCTGATTTATCAGACAGACATTGATTTCCACATTTCTAATTCTAGTCATTACCTTATCAGGAATTCAATAAATTCCCAATGAATCTGAAATAGACACAATGGTTTGGGTTTTTTTCTGTTTTCTTTTTCTTTTGTTTGTTTGATTTTGCAATTGGAGTCATTTTTCTCAGGAACTACTCTAACTATGGTGAAGATTCTAAATCATTTGAAAGTGTTACTGTTTATATGTTTAGTATTAAGCATTACAAGGCACACATATATTTTATTGGTACCCATTACACGTTAAAGTATATTGTATAGATTTTGCTAATATATAAATAAATCTTACATACATCATGCCACAAGGTTAGTATTTTGCCTATCAATAATATTACATGTAACAAATCTCTGTGTTAAGATTCTTAGTGCTCAGGTAAAGAATCACTAGCTATAGCTCATAGATATTAAAGAATGAGACATAAGTTAGTGTGAGATGTTTGTATAGCACAGTGTGAGTTCCAGGTTCTCCTCTTAGCATATGCCAAAGTCCCATGCATCCAAGTACTATTTAAACAGAGATCTGTACATTCAGTTTTCTTATAATAAAAGAAGGATTCTAAAATGCCAAATGGTCCTAAAACTACAACAGCTCCATCTTTCCTAATATTTAACATCTGTGTTCATTTAATACAGCTAAGTAAAAAATATAACAAGGGAATTACTCTGCTTGTTATGTAAAAAAAGAATATTGATGTGTATTCTAGAGCAAAGTCCATTCTCACACATACACCTTCTAGCAAGTTCTGTACAAAGAAAATTTTTAGATACCCCAATTCACAGGACAGCAAGATAGAAAGCAAAGAGTCATATGGATCCTTTTCTTTCCATCCTTCTTTCCTTCCTGAAACCACAGAGTTGATTTCGTTCTTTTATTTCCAACAAGAACCTTTCCCCTCGACCCCGACAAAAAGTACCTTAAGGTGTAGAGAACTCGACCATCATTCCAAATTCTCAGCATCCTGTTGGGAGTGGTGATCCAGTGAGCATCAGCCTTTTTGGAGTTCCTGAAGAAAGTGTCTGGAATCCAGATTTTCCCCACCATATTGCTATTCAACCGGAGAACTTTAATGGTACTGTTAAATTTCAAACGTCTGTCATACCAGGTTTGGGCAAAAAAAATATCAATTGTATATTCCTGTTTTAAAAAGAACAGAAGATTTAAAATGTTTGTATTTTTTCAGTCTGGTGCTTTACTGCCAGTATGAAACAGCATGGAATAGTCCAAAAGGAGACAGTAGCCTTGCTGTGAGGTCTCTACCTCACCTGTCTTTCACACCAGGCTCATACATTTATGATTTCTGGCCAAATATCCAATCCCTGGTGAATACCTTCCTTCACACACATACAAAGCAAGAAGGCAGACCATTATTTCCTAGGGAGGGGTGGAGGTGGGTACTCTCCTGTCCACTGTAGGATGGTTAGTATGATCTCCACCTCTATGTCCCAGATACCAGTAGCAAATATTCCAGTTTATCCTAACCATCACCAGATATTATTAAATGTCGCCTAAAAGAATAATTGTTCGAGGTTCACTAGTGTAGAGCAAGCTGAAGCCCCATGCATCCAAGATACTTAAATGAAGATCTGTAGGTTCAGCTGCCTCACAATAAAAGAAAGGCTCTAAAGATGTCAAATAGTCACCCCTGTAAAAATATAAAATATGTATATAAATGCTTTGCCCCAACAAATAGCAAATGCGAAAGACAACACACTAGCAGTTATGATTGTTTATTGCATTTCTCTAAATAAGATCAAGATAATTAAATTGCTTACTTTGCTTAGCTTTGCAATGCTTTTATTCGCAAATTGATTGGACTAAAGTCATTTTATTAAGATATTAGTAGTGATTCATATGCTGAATTATTCTCTCCTGTGGAGTACATTCTTAAATGTAATAATGACAAGTGAACATAAGAAATCACTTTTAAGAGCCTATCAAATATAAGGTGGGTGCCTTCAGTCAAGGACAAGCCAGTACTGTGTGACATTCAGATCTGAAGGACTGGAATCAGAATACAGTTAGATCTGGTGTGGCTGACACATTCATAGGCAGTCCTGAGGAGGAAAATCCTTCTTTATTAGTTAAGCTTTGTTTCCTTCGTTTGACAGTAGAAAAACTAACCCTAATACATGGGTCCACTTTCAAGGTCCTGGATATATGTGGTCTTTGTGTTTTGACTTTGTTATCAATACAAGAGATTTTAATAAAAACCCAAAAGCCTGCTGCCATTTTGTGTGGTTTTGTTGTTGATTTTGTTGTGCTTATTCGTTGGTTTTAATGTTTTGGTGGTTCTACAGCACTTTAACAATTCCTGCTTTGGGTCAGTTTCTGACTAAGTGCTTTTCACTTGTCAACTCACTTAATAAATCACTTTACATCTATAATCCAAATAATCAACTCTTATAACAATGAACAGCATCTTAAATTATGTAGGATCATCATGGTTCCAAATAATCAGTCCTGTACCTTTCACTACTTTATGTATTGATTTCAGTCAGATTGATCTTAAATAGGAAAAGCAAAGCAAATGAAAGAAACTTAGACTTCTTAGAATATGGAAAACTCAGAAGGGCCTCCTTATTTATCCAGTATCCCATACTCCATTTTCTGCTATAAAGCATGAGGCAGGAGGGGCAGGTGTGGTTTATCACGACAACATGCAACATCAGGATCCATGTATGTTGCTGCATGCACACTGTAATCCTTTCATCTATACCACATGCTCCTGGGTTCCACTGTGGCAGGCTACAGTCCTCTGTGTCCACGCTACACCTTGCACACAGGTTATTTCTCAGTTCAAAATCTTTCTTTATTATATTAATTAATATTTTATTTATTCATCTCCCAAATCTTCATCCCATTCCCCCTTACAGAGTTCTTTCCTTCATTCCTTCTCCTCTTTGCCTCTAAGAGGGTAGGCAGCAAAGAGGTCCAGATGGCCAAGAGAATCAATGGAAAGATGCAGCTGCAAGGGATGGGGTTGAGGAGAAACTCTAGAAAGTCCCAGAGACCTGGGATGTGGGAGAATCCCAGGGCAAAATGTGGGTTGTCTTAGCCGAAATGCCCAACAGTGCGGATATTGAACCTGAAGAGACCACCTCTAGTAGTCAGAGAAAAAAACCAATGGAAGGATGGGAAAATCAATCCACCGAAAGTTTTAACCCAAAATTGCTCCTGACTGAAATTTTTAAATATTAAGGAAACAACCAATTTTATTAACTATTTTTGAACTAATTAATGCTGAATTTAAAAAGAAAATGACACAATAAATTTGGAAATATTTTAGCTTCAAACAAAATAACAATGAAAACAACATTTCACAGAATTAAGAAAAGTTCCCAGAGACTCTCATTCTGACCCAAAGCTAAGCTCTACCTTTGAACACAATTCCCGCATGGACAATGCTAATTTATTGCTTATAGACTGTCTTTAAATATATATAGTTTTTGTCAGAATACTTGGGTTGTAACATATGAGATTACTTTCATGGTTATGTAAGCGATGAGAGTAACTGAAAGTTATATCATTCTCTCTGTGTTTCTGTACATAACAATACAGCATAAAATGAATTTATTCTACCATGTTAAATACCAGTTTTAATCATAATATCACTATAATTTACTGTGTTATTTTATATGTTATTATATTATGCTTTGCTTTGAAATAACATTTTCCTGTTTCTTTACTATGTTTTATCATATTATGTATATTAGAATATACTATACATCTATTTAATAAGCATATTAGATATTGTGTCTAGCTTTTCACTTCAGATTTGGTTTGAAAATAAAAATACAAAATGTGTACCCTGAGAGACATTTCTAATTTAAAGCAAACTATTTCTATATCATCAATTTTCTAAAAAGCAGATAGACTTCATATGTATTCTTGGATCAACATTATATCACAACTACACAGAATAATTTCATATATACCCACATTTGATTCTAATGACAACAATCATCAAATTTTAAACAGCATCATAACATGAAAATATAGGTCTTTAATATTGTCTTTTCTTTTCAAAATCTTCATCACCTTTAAAAAATATAGGTCTTATTTCCAAGCTAAATACAGACAGTTAAATTATGTAACTCACCATATTAATAGCATTCACTGGACCAATGCTGTTCACATACATATCTGTATGAATTAATGTTGGTTTCACTGCAAGAAAATTATAGGAATGTATGTTTGTTTGTTTTTACCGGGAACAAAATTGTATCCATTTAGTCTTCATTTTTTAGCCTAGCTCACTAGAAATAATTTATTTGCAAACAATTTAGTACTAGTCAATACTTCACATTTTCATAATAATTTTGTTTTAAAAGAAATATCTCTTTTTAAGCAAATTGTTAAAAAAAAAAACAGTGTAGTAGAAAGCAGGAGATGTTTCTTTCTTTTAGCTTTTCTACAGTGTTCTCTCAGATCTCATAGTTTTACTCACTTTTTCCCCAGGAAGCCATTTGAGCTTCCTGACTATTCTGGATTGATGCATATACGATAGTGATTAAAAAATGTTAGAGTATCTAAGATTTAAAAGCTCAAAGTAGACATGAACAACAGTAATATAATAATACTCTTGCTGATGTTTTTATCATCACTTCATCCCCATGCATCTCTAGCAAATAGCAAATCAAAATCTCCCCCAATGATCTACTGTATGCTGTAACTATGTAGATAGTATAAGAATCTATAAGGAAGCCTGTTTCACACTGATTCGCTATACAGAAATAATTTGTTATACAGAACATGGTGTAGCATTCAAGATCGAATGAGCATGATCTATTTTAACATTTCATGAGCAGAAGATACATGAGGTGGTTCTGGGCTTCAATTCAAGCCCACTTGTCTCATCTTTATTCATTTTCCTTGAAAGTACCATGCCCAAACTCTCTGTGGCAGACGGAGTTCTTCAACACTGACATCCATACCATTTCCTTTCTGTGAGTGAGGTTACTTTCTTGACTCTTGACTGGGGGATTGGCAAATCTTACTTAGACAGACAATATCTAGACAAAAATGAATGTACCAATTCAAAGCCCAAACATTAAGTTTTATGATATTCCATCTTCTCTCTCCTTTTCTCTTACTATGAAAGGGATTCTCATAGCTGAGATGCTGGTTGTGTACAACACAATACAAACTGGGCTTTTGCCCAGTTTGGCTTAGCTTAGTTTAGCTCTTCTGTCATTGTGGTACCAAATAATGCTTATAGCTAAGGCCACTGAAATTTTCAGCTTGTTGTTCCATAGATATACGTACCCAATACTCTGTCTGCTATTCTTTACCTTTCTTTCCCTTCTCTCTGGTGCCATTTCATAAGAAGTTGTTATTATTTTATAAAGTCTTTGAAATATCTAGGAATATATCTTGACAGCTTTTAAGCTTCATCATTACAAACCCAGTCTTGACTGTTTTTTATATGACTTTTCTTCTCTTTATTTTTGTTGGAGTGTGTGTGATAGTGGTGGTATTTGTTTGTTTGTTTGTTCATGACAGTGTTTCTTTGTATAGCCAGGCCTCCCTGTAGTCTGTCTACTCTGTAGAGCAGACTGGCTTCGAACGCAGAGATTTGTCAGCTCTGCACCTCCAGTGCTAGAATTAAATGTGTGCACTAGTACTGCCCATCTTGCCTTCTCTCTATATTTAAAATTATAGACTTATAATTTAATTTTTTGGCTCTAGAAAAATACCGATATGTTATTCTAATTAACTAATGCTAGTGCATTCCTTTCTATAGCACAGAATTTAAAGCCTCCTCATACCTCCTATGTCAGGTCGAAGCTTGTTGTCATACCCTTCCAGCAGGTTGTTTAAGATGACAGTGACATCACCCTCGGGAACTTTCGGAGTTAACACCCATGTTTTATTAGAAGCATAATCTTCATAGTCATCATCTGACTTTTGGCTAGTGAAGCTAAGAAAACAAAAGTAATGATCATCAAACACAAAGATCACTCCTGAGTTGACTTCTACCACATACAAGTCAGAGTAAAGAAGAAATGAGGTAGGATCTCACAAATGCAGAAAAATAGTAAAAGGTTTGCCCAAGGGTTAGTCTAACCAATTAAACTGTGCAGATGGTGATTAAAATATTTCCTCTAGTTTGCCAGGGTGTTCTCCCCTCCCCTCTATAAATATCCTCCCATCTATAAATAAGCCATGTGTTATTTTTAATTTTTGCCTTTCCTTATTTGATATTCATCCTTCCCAATCTGCCCAGCCTCATAAAGGACATTTAACTAATTGTGAACATAGTATTTAAATTATTATAATACAGCCTAATAACTCAGCCATAACATTAGAACATCTCCCTCTTGTTCCTTTGAGAAGTTAACTTATTCCGACCTATTAATGAAAGTAAGAGAGTGATAATTAGATTCACTCCCAACTCCCACAGTTCTCAGAGCAGCCCCTCCTCCCTCAGTCGAGTGACTGAGAAGAATTCAGGCTTACTGCCTTTTCTGTCCTCAGGCTACATGATGTGTACTTTCTCCACTTTCTCTCACTGAAGGGTAGAGCCATCCATTTATCTTTAGTCGTTAAGAAACTGGTAAAATGAAGAAAAATGTAGTAGCAGCCTTTAATTCACCCGTTGTCACAGCAATATTAACTAAGCTGGAATCTCACAGTGATGCTGGGTATGTTGTAGTCATATGAATAAAATTCATTGTTTTGACAGATCAAATAGTCACAGGATTATATGTTCTCAGTATTGTAGGCTGAAGTCTGTTGAGAAGTTCCTCATAATTGGTATAGAAGTGAGGAATGGATTTGAAAGAAGAATTGAACCTCATGACTTTTATCTTCCCTGTCACACCTTCTAGCCTCTCCTCTCCCACAAGCAAAATTATTGTAATGTTCAAGGTTATGGAAAATGTAAGTTCTTGCCAAATATTTACCTTTCATTTCTATCAGGGCTCCAGAAATCTGTACTTTAAGATGAGATTTGACAATTGTGGTAAGTTAACATATAAAGAAGATTCAAACCCCAGCCTTAGCTTGTGATGTAGAATGTGTGGTATTAGAGAAAAATTGCCACTTTGAAAAGAATGTATACATTTTTTTAAATTTTTATTACATTTATTTATTTGGAGTTATTTAATTATGGGTAGGAAAATGTGTCATGGTACACACGTGAAGGTCAGTGCTTGAGGGAAGGTCAGCAAACAACCTGAGATAGTCTGTTCTCTCCTTCTACCATGTGGTTGCTGGGGAACCAAGCTAGAGTCATGAGGCTAAGTGGCAGACATCTTTACCTGCTGAGATGTGTTTTTCCCCCATGTCAAATTTCACTTTTCTTTAATCTTAATAATTGTTGAAATATTAATAGATGCAATATGGAGAAATTGAATATTTATATGTAGTTTAAATATATGTGTAGGTATATTTGTACATAGGTGTGTATCATATATGTGTCTGTACATATAAATAGAAAATAGATAACAATACATGAATGACTAAGACTTTAGGTAATGGTGAACGACTGAGTTATTAATGTTGGTAATAAAAAAGAAATAAGGCAATGGTTTCAGAGTAAACACTAACTAGTTGACTACCTTGGAAAGCACTAACAGTAATCTCTTATTTTATAGCTTTGGAAAAATAATATCTAAAATCAATTATGTATTAAAATCTTTATAGTAATGCACTAATTAGTAAGATTGTGTGTGTGTGTGTGTGTGTGTGTGAGTGTGTGTGTGTGTGTGTGTGTGTGTATAGTTCAACGTACTTTATATTAAATGAAAATCATAATAGAAGGGATGGGACAAGTTACTCATGGGTGATATTTCAGAGGTCTTCGAAACAACAAACCATATCTTAATGACCCGCCATAACTACATGATAAGACATTTATGGCTGAAGATACCACACATTTTGCTTATAAGGTCTTGAGAAATCAGTCTCAATCCAACTGGGGAAATTCCTTCCCACTGGCTAGCTTTTATATTGCCAAAAGGGGTTATGTAGCCTATTAAGGAGAAATGACATCAAGAGTCTTACCTGTCACTGAGTATTGCATAGTACAATATTGATCTACCAGACAAGATAGGCCTAAAGGTACAAGTAAAGAACCTGTGTTTTTTGGTTACTCTTAGAGGGTAACTACATGCCTTCTGATTGATTTGCAGTCTTTTCGTCCAGAAAGGTATTCATGCCTGGCACCATAATTCTGGTCCATTGATCTGGAAGTCACAGAACCTAGAGGGGAACCTGACGCTTTTATTTTCATAAATTACAAAACTGTTTTTTAAAGATTATGTTTACATCCACAAACTTAGGCTGCTAACAACTTTGGTCAGAGAAGCTTTTTTCCCCCCAGTAACCATAATTAGTGCAGAGACTAAACTGGCCAACAAATTATAAGTGTTTGGCTATGAGCACAACATATTTGTTAACAACCTTCCTCACCCCAATTCCCTGAGCCAGCTAAGGCTCAGGGAACATCACAGATGAGAAGATAAAAAGAATGTCAAAGCTGGAATGAGAAGGCGTGTTGTAGAACGTGTTCTTCTGAAAAAGTGATGGGTATGACAATCATGAATCCACAGAGGGTCTGGATATCTATAGAGAAACCAACCATCCAAAATGTTAGCATAGATGGGGTAGCATTTCATGAAGCTTTGCACCTCTGAGGTGCTATTGTCCATTGATAATTGCTGGGAGAGGATGTATCATTGTTGTTTGGTGATATGGCCACTGGTATGTTGCCTATGCTCTAGTGGATGGACTCGTATCTCTGTTCATAAGATGAAAACTAATTAGACTTTGTAGGCAATATCTTTTAGAAAAAGAGAGAGAACATGAAGTGGGGAGGGAAATGGATGTGTTGGTGGGGGTTCTATCATGAGTAAAAAGTGAAAGGATAGGTAGATATGATCATGTATTATGGTATACATACATAAAATTCTCAAGCAAAAATGCTTTTGGAAGAATGGAAGTGATATAAATATAACATACTCCTATATGAAATTTTAAAAAAATAAACTTACAAAAATAATAAAGTACACGGACAAAGCTGATTAAGGCTTATTATATATGAAGGTTATAGTCCTTTTTTTATCTGGGAACTAAATGGTCACAGAGGGGAAGAAACCCTGATTGAAATTAAAGATTTCTAGAATAACATACCAAAGATAGCATTTTACATTTTGTATTTTAATGAGGATAGGAGCTTCAAGCAAACCTTCATTTTAGAGAATACTGACTCCGATAGGCTGGTAGTGTTTCAACCAGCTCTCCAAAGAAAGGCCTCATTGCAGCCTTGAGCAGCTCTCTGAAAGGAAATTGCCTCTGGGTCTCAAAGCCTCATTTCTCCAAAGCACTGCTAAGCACTGCCTAATGGAGTTGTAATCCTATGACCCAGATCTTACTAGTGTAAGAGGGGAAGGCTTTCTAGCAGGAAAAATTCAAATTATTTAGTTTATGAAGAAAGAATATGGCTGGTTCATCAAATGTAACCATGATAGTGTTTTATTACCAAAACTACTCATGCAAAAGTGTAGGCGCCTCTTAAATCTCCACCCTTTCTTCTTCCATTTCACATATATTGATGGATTCCTTTTTTGTAATATAAGAAGGTGATGCTTATTTTGTGATTTAGTATGCCTATTTATAGAAACTTTCCATATTAACAAATGAGTATTCCAAGCATAATGGTACCATATTAATATTAGTTTTACTGCCTAGCATATAGAATACAAAATTCACTTAATATAAACATAAATATACTTAATTAGAAGGAGGGATGTTATATGGAATGGAACTAATAATTTTCCCAATATCATCACTTTCCTATCAATTGCTGAAACAAAACTTAATTGGTTATTTAAAATAAACATATCAGTGGTAATTTTATTTCCATACTTCAAAGTGCCCAAATAGACACGAAGAGTTACAACAGAGAAATTAAGAGCATATATTTAGGATTGAGGAATATCTGGTTTGCCCTTTATATTAATTTTTAATTTGTCACATGAGATAGTTTGCTCAAACGTGGTAAATCAAAAGTTTTGAACGTTATGCATGAGAGATTATCAGTGCTCATATTACAATGTATAGAAATAAGATGATTATTTAGTATTCACAATTATCGATAACATGAGCAATGTTGAGTTAACATGATGTCTCAAAACCTGTAACTAACGTCCGAGACTGTAGATGCTGCTTCAAGGCATTTTCCTAAGATTACTTCAGAAGATCTAAAAACAGATGTTTTCCAGGAAGAAAAATAATGAGGCCCTATATTATAAATAAGTGAGATTTAGCTTCTCCACAGCTCTCCCAGCTGAGATCTAAATTAAAGGGGATGATGCATGATTTGGGATCATTTCCAGATTTGTCTGAAAAAAAATAAAGGAAACCATTTCACTCGTTCACGGTAGGCTGGTTTTTATGTTTGTTTGTTTTGTTTTTTCCTGGACTTTGGAGATGGGGCTTATGTATTTACAGATGGGATATGCTAATGTCTGACCAATAAATGAGGAATCTTGTGAAATTGCAGGCATGCCTGGGCACCAAAAGACTGATAATGATTTAAGAAAATCCATTTAACTGTTGTGTGGCTTGAAAGCAAACATAAACTTGAAAATCTAAATTCAGGATCCAATTAGAGTCCCCTGGGAATTACTTAGAGTTCCCACTCTTTGTGATGCCTTTTTATTTAAAAAACAAACAAACAAAAAATTACTTCCTTATAGAGGAAAAGAAATGCAATCAAAATTATTCTTAAATTAATTATCAAAATTTAAAAAAATAATCCAATTAAATGATGTCTTTATAGAACGTGCCCACAAACCTTCAGTCTTCTCATTTGTGAAAAGCTACAGTGGTTGCTATAAGGTCCTTTAACCAAGAGTCATGGACTAGTAGCCTAAAGAGCCTCAGTGGATTTTCTAGAAATGCTGAACTCTAAGA